TCTAAGATGTCTAATAGGCGTAGGCACGATTCTAAGAATACAAGATAATTTAATATTTCAAAGTAATAAATATTTTTTGGCATGATTTATCTTTGATATTTCTCAATGGTTAATGAAAAATATTTTGATTAGTTTTCCTGTATATGGGGCCTAGATTATCATTTCGCACCGGGGCCAAAATTTCTGAGGTACGGCCCTGAACTGTAGCCAATATTACCTCGTGTTCAGACTATACAACACCAATTGAGCTGCAACCCTATTATATTCTCTTTTTAGTCTCATCGGAATAACTTCTCTCTCTATCATGATTAACTTGATTTCAGATACAAGATGATCATAACACGACCTCAATAAACCCTCTCGGACAATGTAGCCAACGCCTCAAAGGAGTCTGATTGTACCACCTCCGCCTCTTCAGAATGTTGTATTAGACCATGCCCTGCATCAAGGCGTGAATTTCAGCTTCCAGTGCATCATTATAGTTGAATGAAAACCTACGAGCAACAAAGATGACACTTCTATCCAGCCTTCTTAAAATCATGCATGCTGCTGCAGTGCCATCCACCAGCAGAAACGACCCATCGACCGACAAGGCAACCATGCGGATAGGTTCATGTGCCTTAACTTCCTTCGCCGGCCTCACATCTTCTACTGACATTTTACCCTTCCATATCTCCTCCGTACTAAATTCTCATACCAGTCTCAAGAAACGCACATAGCCTTGCAACAATTCCACTGAGACCTCCGGTGATGGGTCTTCCTTCCTATGTACAACATCTGACCGAATTGACCAGATTCGCACATTAGTATAATTGCCATGTCCCACACCGCGCTTACTTTTTTCATGCATGGCCAACTATCACGTGTAAGGTTTAACATTTGGGTAAAGTGAAAATTTTGGATCCCACTGAAAATTCTTTGCCATTTGAATTTGATTTGAGTATTGTCAAAAAAATTAAGGTTACAAATATTTCATGCCCAGGGCCGTACCTCAGAAATTTTGGCCCCGGTGCGAAATGATAATCTAGGCCCCATATACAGGAAAACTAATCGAAATATTTTTCATTAACCATTGAGAAATATCAAAGATAAATCATGCCAAAAAATATTTATTACTTTGAAATATTAAATTATCTTGTATTCTTAGAATCGTGCCTACGTCTATTAGACATCTTAGAAAATTATAAGCCAGCCGGATGCATACATTCATGGAAGAGCAGCAAATTAACTTAAGAACAAAGGAGTTCAAAACAAAAAGGGAGAAACAACCTACAGTTGTTGAGTGTTGATGGATGCAGACCATGAAGCAACAACGGCGTATAGCGCTCCGATTGCTTTGCTCCTCGACCAAGAGAAACAAAGGAAACTCCGATTGCTCTGCTGAAGGATGAAAGAGAGAACGAAGAATCAAACTAAATCCACCCAATTTATAAGTGCGAGGTAGCACCGTCGCAGCCGAATAAATCAGCAGTTGTAGACATTTTTTTTTGAAACAATGTGAATCCATTGAAGAAAAATCAGAGAGAGGAGACCAGGAGACGAAGCATTAAGTTGCAGCGATTTGTTTTGCGCCTGTCGCTGAGCAGAATTTTATGTGTTTGCGTACGCGACTGCTTCGACTGCCGTGAAGATGAGAAAGAAACATGACTGGGCCGGGGTTAAGGTCAGCAAGTTCGGCCGTGCCTTGTTTATTTAGTCTGTAATAATACCTGATTAGTTTTCTTGAGAACAAGTACCTGATTAGTTATAGTAATAACAATACTAATGTACTGTGCTAAAAAAATTAGGGGCCCCAAGATTTTTTTGGGGGCCCTGTGCAGCTGCTCTGGTTGCGCCTGCCCACATACGGGCCTGTTCATGCCAACAAAAATTATCAAAATTTCAATATCTTTGAAATTTCAAACTTTGATGACATGTGCGCCAACTGAGTGAAAAATCGTATTGGAGAGAAGATGTACAGCGACAGTCTATATTTTTCCGAGGTGCTCCCTTTGCTAGAGCAAAGTTTTTTCGCCGACGGACCATATGCATGTGTCTTTTATGTAAGGAAACGTACCTTCCCCACCACCTCAGAGGCTCAGATATTGATTCAGTGCATATACACCTATGAGTTTCAAAGTGGCAATTCTATCGATTCATTTGATAACCTTATTAGCTCGTGAATTTTGGGGGTTACGTGATTCGGCAGAAAAAGGAATGATAGTTACCTTTTTTTTCTCTATAACAAGATTGTTAGTTTCTCGTCCGGATTCTTCGGGGCATTTTACATTAACTAATTTATACTCCCTCCGTCTCAAAATAAATGTCTCAACTTTGTACTAACTTTAGCACAAGGTTGTACTAAAGTTGAGGTTGTACTAAAGTTGAGATACTTATTTTGGAACGGAGGGAGTATGACTCATTGATCTTTCTCTCATGGGCTTTGTATATCTCCATAGCATTCCGAAAATACATAACTCTAAAAATGATTTGAGCACAATAACTACACCAAGTACTATTTTAACGCAAGACTTTGCCACGTCGGGTCTTTTAACTGAAATGCATCAATTCATGATACTAGCACCTGCTCTATAATCCTAGTGGTTAGTGATGCATGTCAGTATGATGTTATTAAGCTATGCCACTCTTTTGTCTGGATCCTTATTATTTGCCACTATTATAATCATTAGATTTCAAAATAATTTCCATTTCTTTTCTAAAATGAAAATAGTGTTTTAGATAAAACATTTTTCTTTGGTGAGACTACTATTTCTATGCAAAAACAAGTGCTTTAAAAAGCACCTCGTCCCTTCATTTCCAACTTATTACAAATATCAATTAATAGAGTATTTGCATTCTGGAAGTTATTGTGTCATTAGCCTAGGATTTACCCTTTTAACCATAGGTATTCTCAGTAGATCATTATGGGCTAATGAGGCCTGGGGATCCTATACTCTTCATGTTTGTTCTATTGCTTCTGAAAAGTCTAACTGCATCCATTATTATAGCGAGTGCATGTAGCCAGCCAGGAGATAGGGAATCTCCTTGTCCCAAACCCTCATGGTCATTTCTGTGGCATATAACTAACATGCCATTATCCTAGTCGATCATCAAGTTAAACCAAAAAGTAGGTTCCAAGGAGTAAATGAGGACATTCTCAGGCTCTCCCGAATAGATGTCATGTTGGTATCAAGAGCATGGTTAATAATATAACCAGTTGCGAGAATGACGTTTTGACTCTCGGCCTCCATGAAGGCTGATTTTTTTTGAAAGAAAATCAAATTTTGAAAATTTTGGTTTCAAAAAAATCTGAAAAAACTTGTACACGTAAACAAGGTGTGAGGCGTATGTGCGTAAACTTTCAGAATGAAATACGTTGAAATGCGACCTGTACAAAAAAGACAAAATCATGCTTTGGGAGGATGAATAGTATCATGTGTTAAAGAGCCCTAGATTTGTCTTTCTTGCACAATCCTCATTTCGAGGTATTTCGTCCTGAAAATTTATACACCTGTGCACCATGCCTTCATCTATCTCTGTAATTTTTTCAGAATTTTTTGAAATGTATAAAATATGAATTTTCACGAATTTTACATTTGGTGGCCTCCATGGAGCTCGGCCTCCAAAAGCAATTTTCGAGCCGGTTGCTGGCTATATAAACATGTCATGTCCAGTGGCTATGTCATCAAGAGTGAACATTATTCATTACTCATAAAATAGTAAGTTCACAACTTTTTTTTCCATTTTCTCTCTATCTCTTTCTTCTCATTTTTGGAGGGCAGTAACGTTAAGTGCAACCAGGGCCGTACCTCAGAAATTTTGGCCCCGGTGCGAAATGATAATCTAGGCCCCATATACAGGAAAACTAATCGAAATATTTTTCATTAACCATTGAGAAATATCAAAGATAAATCATGCCAAGAAAATATTTATTACTTTGAAATATTAAATTATCTTGTATTCTTAGAATCGTGCCCACGTCTATTAGACATCTTAGAAAATTATAAGCCAGCCGGATGCATACATTCATGGAAGAGCAGCAAATTAACTTAAGAACAGGGGAGTTCAAAACAAAAAGGGACAAACAACCTACAGTTGTTGAGTGTTGATGGATGCAGACCATGAAGCAACAACGGCGTATAGCGCTCCGATTGCTTTGCTCCTCGACCAAGAGAAACAAAGGAAACTCCGATTGCTCTGCTGAGGGATGAAAGAGAGAACGAAGAATCAAACTAAATCCACCCAATTTATAAGTGCGAGGTAGCACCGTCGCAGCCGAATAAATCAGCAGTTGTAGCCATTTTTTTTTGAAACAATGTGAATCCATTGGAGAAAAATCAGAGAGAGGAGACCAGGAGACGAAGCATTAAGTTGCAGCGATTTGATTTGCGCCTGTCGCTGAGCAGAATTTTATGTGTTTGCGTACGCGACTGCTTCGACTGCCGTGAAGATGAGAAAGGAACATGACTGGGCCGGGGTTAAGGTCAGCAAGTTCGGCCGTGCCTTGTTTATTTAGTCTGTAATAATACCTGATTAGTTTTCTTGAGAACAAGTACCTGATTAGTTATAGTAATAACAATACTAATGTACTGTGCTAAAAAAATTAGGGGCCTCAAGATTTTTTGGGGCCCTGTGCAGCTGCTCCGGTTGCGCCTGCCCACATACGGGCCTGAGTGCAACAATCTACCCCTGACCGTGGTCACCTTGAATAGAAACCATGCAGAGGTTGGCGAGAGGTCCAGCCCACGACGTTCCTAGCCGTTCAAATCCACGCCTATTTTAAAACACGTCCCCGTTTGTCTCGGGCGCGCGCCGGCGCCAACCTCTGCCCTCCTCCGCGTCCATCCGTCTCTCCACCGCTTCGTCTCTCCCTGCCTCTCTACGGTGCCACCGTTAACCTCTCCTCACCGCCCTCTGCGCCCATTGCCTCCCTCTGCCATCGATCCCGAGACCGGAAGAGGCGCGCGGCCTGGAGCTAGCGAAGCCTCGGTGGCCAGGGAGGAGGCGGCCACAAAATCAACATGGTTCTGGAGCTGGATAGAGTCCTGATGCTGCGCGCCGCCGTTCTCGCCGTCGTCACCGGCTTCGCCGCCGCCGGATTCATCTCAAGTTGGTCCACGGTCATCCTCGTTACGGCACTTAATTCCCATAATATTATTTTAACGTGATTCGGCTTTCTTGATCCGTGGCTTGATCATCTGACCGATCTGCCGTTGCGCCCCGTGGATGCAGATGACGCGCTCCAGTCGCACTCGCACGGCGGCGCCGGCCGGAGCTTGCTGCAGGCCAAGAAGGGTAAGTAAATCCAACTTTTGCGTTCGCTCCCTCCAACGTCCCGCGAGGCTCGTACGTGGAGTGGACCGGCTGACACGGATCTCCTGCGCAGAATGCCCGGTGACCTTCGAGGGGGCCAACTACACCCTCATCACGAGCAAGTGTAAAGGGCCCCTGTACCAGCCGGCGCTGTGCTGCGCGGCGCTCACGGAGTTCGCGTGCCCCTACGACACCTACATCAACGACGTCGCCACCAACTGCGCCGCCACCATGTTCAGCCTCATCCACCTCTACGGCAAGTACCCGGCGGGGCTCTTCGCCAATACATGCAAGGGGGACAACCTGGGGCTCAAATGCCCTGAGGACGTCCCGCAGGTCCAGCCGGGCGAGGAGGGCAAGAGCTCCGCCGCCGTTGCTACTGCCGCACAGGCGGCACTCGCCGCGGCCAGCGCGGCTGTCATGTCCCTGCTCATTGTAATGTCTTGATCAGAGCCGGACGGTAGCTGTGTGCGTGTGCTCGTGCGCTGGTTTCTGTTGCATGCATGAGTTTGTGGTCATATGTAATTCTGGATCCTGCACAGGGTGATAATTCACCGATTAACATTTTAACTTGTTCTTTTAACCGTTGTACATTGTTACCAGAAGGGCTAGGAATTTTGGACTCGTGTGTTTCTGACAAAGTAAAATTTGGAATGTTAGAGTTTATGTGGGCATTTAGCGTACCGTGCACTAACCCTTTTAGCTGTACTAGTGCATTAAGCTAGTATTATCATTATTATTATTATTATTATTATTATTATTATTATTATTATTATTATTATTATTCCGAAAGATTGAGCTCATAATTCAACATCACAAAAGTCTTGGTAATTTTTAAAAAAATGACAACACTACTGCATTACACATTTAAAGATATACAATTATATTTTTCCAATGCACAACACAAAAACCAGAAGAAAAAACATAACTGGCTGTGAATAGTACCATGCTGGTACTATTCATAACCTTTATTTAGTTGTAGTTATGTATTTTTATTTTTATTATTCTAATTTGGTATGCACATTTTTTGGGGTCATTAATGTATGGTATAATCAATTTTATAAGCATCTTATATTAATTAACCAACATTAGTATAATCATTTTCTCAACAAGTTTCACCACTCTCTACGCATGGAGGAACCTTGCCATACACAACGCCTTTAAGATTTGGTCCATTAGGCCTTGTACAATGCAAGGTGTTTAGGGGAGGTGCTTAGAGAAATAAATTAGGCTTTCCTTAAACACTTGTGCTTATTTGTACAGGGCAGACGCTTAACTAAGCGTCTCTCCTGTAAAAATAGACACCGATGCTTCAAAAATACTCGGTTTATTTTTCGAAGCACCTCCTTAAGCATCTCCCATTGTACAAGGCCTTAGTCGGCTCCGGTATGGGAGCGGCGACATCGGCGCGTCAGTGGTTTGTTCTGACGGCGACAATGATCGTTCGGTGGTTGATGGACCTCGATGTAATTTTTATTATGTTTGAGGTGCTTTGTACTTCCGGTGAATCTTTATAGTAGATCTGATTCTTTCCGGAAAAAAAAGATTTGGTCCATTAGGAAAATTTTCAAAAGAATTTCAGTGTTTTTGAATTATTTGGTCCATTAGAACCTTTATAAGATATCTTCATTGATTTATTAGCACTCTATTTTGGAGTACCTGCCCTAGTGAACCATTAAAAGAATTTGGAGTATGAACAAAACATGCTTTGTGAATTGTGATGGACCGTACCCTAGTGACTTCGCCACTAAGAAATTCTACAACAGAAGGAAGTTGGTGTCGTGTTAAACCCTGAAAGCGACGGGCCTGGTAGGATTAAATAAAAATGGCCTTTTTGCCTGCTTTGCTTTTGTATCGCACCCACTGTAAGTATGTGATTCTATTTCCCTAGAGCACTTACAGTCAACTACAAGGGCAGTGGAATATGGGCTTTAGCCGCTCGTGTAATGCATGCATGCGCTAAACACGGCTTGGTTAAACGTGATAGCAAAAGATTTCCAGAGCAGATGCATGGTTTTCACATGGACAAATCTCAAGAGTATATACCTAAACTATGCAGTTTAGTCAGGCCAGACCTGCCTTGTGCGTGTTAAAATAAACAATGTAATCAACTAAGAGATGTATTTCCAAATGTAGTCTGATTCAAAAGTACTAGACTGGACTATGTCAACTTTGTCCTAGCCCTAGTTCACAATGCAAAACAGACGACACACTATCAGCTCTAATTCCAGTTAGATTCCAACAATAACTTCAAGTTTTGCAATTTAGGAGTGAAACTAAGATTAGGGGGTATCCAAATCATATCAACCAACTAGTTAATACTTAGGCCTCCTTTGATTTGGAGGAATATCATAGGAATTCTATGGGATAGCATTATTGTAGAATTTTTACCTAGAACCCTTTGGTTCATAGGAATGAATTCCTGTTCCTACATAGGATTGGTTCATATTCTCCACACTTTAAAGAAAAATAGGATGTCATGTGATTTGCATCATAGGATTTTTTTTTTCATTAAGTCTAGACTAATGTTTATTTCTCTATAAAATACGAACGATAAGAAGAATTGCTCCATAGAAATAAGATTATATTCCTACAAACCAAAGGGCTCTAAACATTTTTTTCGATAGACTTATCCATGAAATTCCTATATAATTCCTCCAAACCAAAGGAGGCCTTATAGGATTTGAGATGCATATCATCTCATTTCCTACAAGTTTCATATTCCTATGATAATCCTATCCTATGAACCAAATGAGGCCTAAGTTAGAATTAGGGAGGTTTCTTGATGCGGAGCATCCCACGGTCATCCCCATGGACGCACCTACACCTCCAACGTCACCACTTGGACCAATGACAAGAGCCCGGGCCAAAGCTATCAAAGATAAGGTGAACTCACTCCTCTCCGAACTTCCACTCTCCATGCATGAGAATTGGCTACTACCTCAAGTGGAAACCCTATGTGTGATCAGGTACTTGGAGCAAAGCCACAGACCAACTACACTCAACGGACAAGACGGTGAGGACGCCAAGTTCACGGGACAAGAAGAAGAACTGCTCGAAGTCCCCAGGCTCCGGACGACCGACAGACCCCGGACGTCCGACGACCGACGCTTCCACACCCGAGCCAAAACTACGGACTTCCGAAGTGCTACGGACGACCAATGACCTCCAGGCTCCGGACGTCCGACCCCGTCTGGACGTCCGACCGAAGTCCACCCGAGCAGAATCTACGGACGTCCGGACCCTCGCGAGCCTCCGGACGACCGGTGACTACCGAACGTCCGACGCCTCTGTGATGTTTCGTGTTGGGCCGCAGCCCATGTACCCCTTCGCCCTCCTCTTTTGCACTAAGACTATAAATAGACCTCTCCCTCCTCCTTTCTAGGGTTAGCAAAGGATTAGCTCATATTTGTGTGAGAGCTTTGCTCATCCACTTGGTTACCTTCTCCCCGGAGATTCAAGCCTCCATCGTAGAAGATCCCCCAAGCGGATTCAAGACCCCTTTTAGGGAAGAACTCAAGACCTCCTCACGGAGAAGATAGTGCCTCTTGTATCGTCCCTAGTTGACCGTGGATCGTGTATCGTTCTTTGTATATGAGGATCTAGCACATGTGTGATTGTTGGTTTGAGTGTCTCTTTTATGTTTGCCCCATGTTTTCCCTCGTTTAACTCCTTGTGTTCTTCATGTTCATCACGGGATCCGCTCCTTTCGTGAAAGATCGGCCGATTAGGGTTCCCACCCTACATCATCTTGGTATCATGAGCCATGTTGATCACGATTTCGGAGCCTCCCAGTTGTGTTTCTAGCCTAGTTTTTGTTGTTTTTCGTCCTAATTCGAAAATTCCCCACAAAAATAGCCCCATTTTTTTGTGATTTGTTAGTGTGTTGAGATTTTGTTGGTTTGGATCCGTGGATTTGCTTTCTTTTGAGTGGATCTAGCTTTTCCCCCCTTTCCCCTGTTGGAAATATGCCCTAGAGGCAATAATAGAAGTATTATTATATTTCAATGTTCATGATAAATGTCTTTTATTCATGCTATAACTGTATTATCCGGAAATCGTAATACACGTGTGAATACTTAGACCACAATATGTCCCTGGTGAGCCTCTAGTTGACCAGCTCGTTGTGATCAACAGATAGTCATGGTTTCCTGACTATGGACATTGGATGTCGTTGATAACGGGATCACATCATTAGGAGAATGATGTGACGGACAAGACCCAATCCTAAGCATAGCATAAAAGATCGTGTAGTTCGTTTTGCTAGAGCTATGCCAGTGTCAAGTATCTCTTCCTTCGACCATGAGATCGTGTAACTCCCGGATACCGTAAGAGTGCCTTGGGTGTATCAAACGTCACAACGTAACTGGGTGACTATAAAGGTGCATTACAGGTATCTCCGAAAGTATCTGTTGGGTTGACACGGATCGAGACTGGGATTTGTCACTCCGTATGACGGAGAGGTATCTCTGGGCCCACTCGGTAATGCATCATCATTATGAGCTCAATGTGACCAAGGTGTTGGACACGGGGTCATGCATTACGGTACGAGTAAAGTGACTTGCCGGTAACGAGACTGAACAAGGTATTGGGATACCGACGATCGAGTCTCGGGCAAGTAACGTACCGATTGACAAAGGGAATTGCATACAGGGTTTGATCGAATCCTCGACATCGTGGTTCATCCGATGACAACATCGAGGAGCATGTGGGAGCCATCATGGGTATCCAGATCCCGCTGTTGGTTATTGACTGAGAGCGTCTCGATCATGTCTGCATGTCTCCCGAACCCGTAGGGTCTACACACTTAAGGTTCGGTGACGCTAGGGTTATTAGGAAGACTAGTATGTGACTACCGAATGTTGTTAGGAGTCCCGGATGGGATCCTGGACGTCACGAGGAGATCCGAAAGGGTCCGGAGGTAAAGATTTATATATGGGAAGTTGTCAAACGGACACCGGGAAGTTTCGGGGTCATACCGGTATTGTACCGGGGCCACCGGAAGGGTTCCGGGGGTCCATCGGGAGGGGCCACCCCTCCCGGGGGGCCACATGGGCTGCGTGGGGCAGGGAGCCAGCCCCTGGTGGGCTGGCCGCACCCCCCTCCCTTGGGCCCATGCGCCTAGGGTTGAGGGGGAACCCTAGAGGGGGCGCCCCCCTTGGCTTGGGGGGCAAGCCACCCTCTCCCCTCTCCCCTAGGCCGCCGCACCCCCCCCCCCTAGATGGGTTCTAGGGGGCCGGCCCCCTTCTCCCTTCCCCCTATAAATAGAGGGGTGAGGGGAGGGCAGCCGGACCACCCTCCAAGGCGCAG